CCTTTCTTCAGGATACTAACAAACTCAACAAATTCAAGATAGTCCTCAGCAACAAGTTCCAGGCCTTTCATGATCTATTCGATGGAGAAGGAACTACTATGAAAAGCAACTGAAAGGGGATCAAAGAGGCAATCACTTCAACATGTCATGAGGTCCTGGGTCACAAGAAGCACCATCACAAGGAATGGATCACTGTTGATACACTGGATAAGATTCAAGAAAGGAACAAGAAGGCAGCAATCAATACCAGTCGAACAAGAGCAGAAAAAGCCAAGGCACAAGCTGAATACACAGAAGTAAACAAACAAGTGAAGAGGAGCATCAGAACCGACAAACGTAAATATGTGGAAGATTTAGCAACGAAGGCGGAAAAGGCTGCAAGAGAAGGAAACATGAGACAATTGTATGACACGACAAAGAAACTCTCTGGAAATCGCCGCAAATCAGAACAACCAGTGAAAAGTAAGGAAGGCGAGGTAATCACCAGCATTGAAGAGCAACAAAACAGGTGGGTAGAACACTTCAAAGAACTCTTGGATCGACCAGCTCCACTGAACCCACCCAACATCGAAGCAGCACCCACGAACCTCCCAATTAATGTTGGCCCACCAACAATTGAAGAAATCAGCATGGCCATCAGACAAATCAAGAGTGGCAAAGCAGCAGGACCGGACAACATCCCAGCAGAGGCACTAAAAGCAGACGTAGCGGCAACTGCAAGGATACTCCACATTCTCTTCAATAAGATTTGGGATGAGGAACAAGTACCAACAGACTGGAAAGAAGGACTTCTGATCAAAATACCGAAGAAAGGCGATCTCAGCAAGTGTGATAACTACAGGGGCATCACTCTTCTCTCAATACCAGGAAACGTCTTCAACAGGGTATTGTTAAACAGGATGAAGGACTGCGTAGACGCCCAACTTCGTGACCAACAGGCAGAATTCCGTAAGGATAAATCGTGTACAGACCAAATCGCAACTCTACGGATCATTGTGGAACAATCAATTGAATGGAATTCATCACTCTACATCGACTTCATCGACTACGAAAAGGCATTTGATAGCGTGGACAGAACAACACTATGGAAACTTCTTCGACACTACGGCGTGCCTCAGAAGATAGTCAATATCATACAGAACTCATATGATGGATTACACTGCAAAATTGTGCATGGAGGACAGTTGACAAAGTCTTTCGAAGTGAAGACCGGTGTTAGGCAAGGTTGCCTACTCTCACCCTTTCTATTTCTCCTGGTGATTGACTGGGTCATGAAGACGTCAACATCTGAAGGGAAACGCGGGATACAATGGACGTCTAGGATACCCTTGGACGATCTAGACTTCGCAGTTGATCTGGCCCTTCTATCGCAAACGCAACAACAGATGCAGGAGAAGACAAACAGTGTAGCAGTAGCCTCAGCAGCAGTAGGTCTCAATATAAACGAAGGGGAAAGCAAGATTCTCCGATACAACACAGCATGCACCAATCCAATCAAAATTGACAGAGAAGATTTGGAAGATGTAAAAACCTTTACATGTCTGAGCAGCATCATTGATGAACAGGGTGGATCTGATTCAGATGTGAAGGCGCGGATTGGCAAAGCAACAGCAGCATATTTACAACTGAGGAACATCTGGAACTCAAAGCAACTGTCAACCAACACCAAGGTCAGGATTTTCAATACAAATGTCAAGACAGTTCTACTGTATGGGGCAGAAACCTGGAGAACTACGAAAGCCATCATTCAGAAAATACAGGTGTTTATTAACAATTGTCTACGCAAAATACTTCAGATCCATTGGCCGGACACTATTAGCAACAACGTACTGTGGGAGAGAACAAACCAGATCCCAGCGGAGGAAGAAATCAGGAAGAAGCGTTGGAAATGGATAGAACACACATTGAGGAAAGCACCTAACTGCGTCACACGACAAGCCCTCACATGGAATCCTCAAGGCCAAAGAAAAAGAGGAAGACCAAAGAACACATTACGCCGAGAAATGGAGACAGACATGAGAAAAATGAACAACAATTGGATGGAACTAGAAAAGAAGGCTCAGGACAGAGTGGGTTGGAGAATGCTGGACAGCAGCCTATGGCTCCATTGGGAGTAACAGGCGTAAGTAAGTAAGTAAGTAAGTAAGTAATGTCCATGATAATCTTACGGACTCCATTCAAATAGTCTACATCTGTTTATACGTCCTAATTTGATAAACAATGACTTCATGAATGGATTTCATAACTTAGTTTGGCGATTCCTAGTTTATTTTCTAGCCAATTCCTACAATAGCATACATCTTGCTTAGAGTAATCAAAGCGAGAGGCAGAGATATATAAATATCAGAAACGGTTTTGTGGATATTATAGTAATTTTAATAGTTGAGATGATGAGTCAATTGAAGCTCACTAGTGACTGGCTTCAAGAGGTATATCATAGAGTTCTACTGAGAAGCAGTGACTAGTGGAGGTCAACCGGGTCTGTTGTGAGATAGTAGCTCACTGATGACAAGGGTGGACGTGTCGCTCAATTTCGTGGATTAGTTGGAGTTAGACATTAACACCGTTTGATGCCGGCTCAGTGTTCTAGTAGTTAGGCGCTCTCGCGCGAGACTGATAAGTCCTGGGTTCGAATCTCGCGGGGGGCGAGATCGTGAATGTGCACTTCTGAGGAGTCCCACAATAAGACTAAACGGCCGTCCAGTGCTTTCAGGTTTTCCATGGTGGTCTAGCTTCAATTGACTTATGATCTCAACTATTAAAATTAATATACATAAATGACGACCCGAAAAGGCTAGTAAAAGAGAGGAAAGAAGAATGAGAGGAATAAAACAAAGCGAAATAAGGTAACTTTACTATTGGTAAATAGGAACATATGTATGTATTTATAGATGCATTGACAGACTTACTCAATAATTCCATTCTTCTCAATTTCCAAGCTAATAACAGTAAGTTGTAAGTCATACAAACAATTGCTATAGATAACTCAACAAGATTTACAGAATAATTTGAAAGTATATGTACAGTAATCACTGATACCAACACAATACGATGAAAATAATTTACCCCCCCCCAAAAAATGCCTCATTATTTTTGTTTATTCAGCTTATTAGTTAATTCATGATGCAACTGAATTTACTTGATTCGATGACTTATTCATAAAAGCTATACACTTATATTTGTTATATATGTTCTTATATATTACGCATATCATAAGCCAGAATTAGGTTGAATGTAGAATAAAGGAAGACTTAAGACAACTGACTTAGAGAACTACTACAACCATCATCAAAAAGGTACAAGTATTTATAAATAGCTGTCTACACAAGATACTCAATATCCGTTGACCGGATACGATCAGCAACAGCCTACTGTGGGAGAGAACAAACCCGATTCTAGTCGAAAGGGAAATTAAGAAAAGACAATGGAAGTGAATGGGACATATTGAGGAAATCATCAAACTGTATCATGAAGCAAGTGCTAACGTGGAATTCTGAAGGGAAAAGGAAGAGAGGAAGATCAAAGAACAAACTGCGTTGGGAATAGGAAGCAGATATCAAAAGGATGAATAGTAACTGGAAACAACCGGAAAAGATTACCCAGGACAGAGTTGGATGGAGGATGCTAGTGGGCGGCCTATGCTCCTCCATGAGGGGTAACAGGTTTGAGTAGTAAGTATGACAACCTATTAAGTTAAAAATAATCACATAATACTAGTTACTATTCCTTACTGGAATAGTACACAGGCTTGAAAAGTTAGTCAATTAGTCTGTCATAATCAAAGTAGAAACCGCTAGAAACATATGTGCATTAGCCATCAGTTGCCATAACACATTAGAACGACGAGATGAAATGAAAAAGATGAATAACTAAAAAGTCAAAATAATGCATTAACAATAACAATGAGAAAGGCTAAGCGCTAAGAATGCGGTTCGATAAGGTTAAATGAAGTGATATGTATGAAGGAATATTAGAACTCAAAACAGAATAAGTATATATGTATAAGAAAAACATATGACTCTTAAGCATAGATACACTATGATAGAGTTTTGCTCTCTGAGCTGGATAGTTTCGGTCGTGGAGTTTTGATCGTTCTTCTGAACGACATCATCAACACAAACTTCAAATAGATAAATTTGATAAAAATAGATATGTAATCTTTTTTCAGTCAGTCAGTAACAACGTAGAACTTCGTACGTACGTACATCAGCTCGAATTGCCATACAACATTAGCACACAGATGTAGTGGTTGATTCAAATCCCGTAGTGGTAGAGGTAGTAAGAGTATAAGCAGTAATCAGGAAAATTAGTGGTTGGAGATGTTATTTAAAAAGTATAATACAGTGAAATAAATTTGGAAGAGAAAAAAGAGAGACAAGAAGGAATCAGGAGATCAAAATTTGGGAGAACACAAAAAGTGGATGCACCTGCACCATTGCAAACGATTTTGAGCTATGTCATTTAGGGTCTCTAACCATCGGTTGCTATCATCTCGCGGTCCCCAACCAGGTAGTTTACACCTACCACTTGTCAGTGACTTCATGGACTTGTGCTCTTTTTTAAATGATGAATAACTTTCACATTCGAACATAAACATACACACACAAAGACAAAACATTCAATGGTTGTTTAAAACAAATAATGTCGAAAACAACATGGTGTGATAAGAAGCAACAACAACAACAACAACAAAAAGATTATGTATCCACATTTGTCAATATTCAAGATACATCGAGTATCAAAGATTTTCTGGCATTTTCTCGTTTATTTACTGAATGAGTACTGTACTGTACAAGTGTAATTTTCACTGAGGATTTCATTCCAAGTTCTAAATTCAATTTCATTCGATTTTATCCTCTGACATGTTGAAATAGACTGTACTGATATGTTCACAGGAGACAGTAAAACTCTTATCCATTAAATAAACAGAGAAACACTATAAAATCCAAGATACTATACATTTAATAATCATTAAACAACAGTAAAATTCTATTACTTACCATGTGGCAGAGGCTGAAGATATATTCAACATTCAAACAGGAACATTATTTTATGAAGAGGGAAAAGAAATAAAAAAGGGTAGAGTTTTTACTAACATATATACATATAGAAGTGATATATATAATACAAAGCAAAATATATGTGGCGATAATATACCACCGAGTCAATGATGGAGGTGTACACCACCTCAAGGTCATGGTACAATTGGCAAAAAAGAGGTGTTGTAAATAGGAATCAGGTTATCGAATTAAAATTCTCACTACGAAATAACATCAGCTATGATGCCAGGTTTGTAAAAGGCATTTTCTAAGTGTCTAGTCTAAGTATCATATATCTCATGATCGGCTTAATAGGGTAAGGTCTTTAGATTGTTTGGCAGTTTACTCCAGCTTTATCCTTTTCGTTTAAGAAACGATTTTGTGCTAAGAAGAGATCAAGTCATCTAGCTTATTGCTACTATGTATCAGTTTAGGATGATGACAATCTTTTAATTCATATTTTTGCAATAACATTCACTGTTATTTGATTGCTCCAAGGTCATTGTATACTAATATAAACGACAGTGTTGTTCTTTTCCAGCTTTTTTAACTTCTGAACAGAATTCAAAGTAATCCCGAAACCACCGTCTTCTCTATATCATATTAGCGTGTGAATTACTAAAGTATTGATGTCTAACAAATATCCAGTCTTTTAAAGTTCCCAGACGGAGAATGCTCAATAGTTTGTAAATAGGATTAACCGTACGTCAACCGAAAACCCAATAACCATAACTGTTTTCGTCGAGATTTAACAAAAACAATATATAAAAAGAGATAGGTAGTAAATTTAATTTTCTCTGAATGCGAAATGTTACTTCAGAATTGGCTTGTGTCATTGCATTAATTAATGATAACGAGTGAAGTAGTTGGACGCATCAAACGCTTTACTCGTTTTTAGATTCTTGTCATCACTGATGAAATAACGGCAAGGACTAAGAGCGCTTGATTGGCATTTGACAACTTACTTCACTTGTGGCGTGGGCACGTTATCTGTCTTCCGATACAAGGGAAAGTTTACTGCGTACGGTTTGCACAGTTCTACTTTATGGGCATGAAACATGGCTAGTAAGAACAACACATTCCTAGGTTACTGGCATCACACGTGTTTTTTAAGCATTGCTAGTGTATTTTGGGACTACAGAGTAAGAAATGACTGAATTAGAAATACGTCACAAGGTAAGAATGACAAATCTACTTATGAGATAGTAAATCTCCGACAACCGAGGCGCTTGAGACGCGTGTTACGTATCTCTATCCACCGCCTACCTCGATGAGCGATGTTGTCTGGTGCAGGAGTAGGCTAGTAGAAATCTATGGGCAGCCAAACCAAGACATGGCATCAGTCCATAAAGTCATCGACAATCGGATTAAGCCATGTTAATAGATATAGATTATCACCTGGTTGGGATCTGCATGATTATCATAACCATAGGTTGGAGACCTTGAAAGACATTGTTCAAAATCATTCTCAATGGTGCAGATGAATCCATTATTTGACTTTCCCCAAATTCTGAGCTTCTGAATTTCTGATAACTAGTTTCTGTTTTTATTTCACTAATTTATATTTCTTAATAGTACCTTGAATACTTGGTCTTCTCTACCACCACTGATGCTGTTACTACCTTAATTATTCTTTGTGTTAACGAGGTATTGCAGCTTCAACCGATGTACATACATACGAGATTCACTTTATAACTGACTAAATTAACCAAAGGTATGTGGAGAAAGGTTGGAACAACTGATCACCAACATACACACTCTCAAATGCCCTGGTACAGCTGAGGGTGGGAAGATTTAGCTCTCCCTCTACAAATGCTCTCAGATGGCCACATATATACAGCCACTGACAGGGAAATCCTACTCATTGACTTCTCGCAAAGGGAGTGTTGCTTAAGGAATGGACAGGACGAAAAGCGAATGTTCGTTGCTTTAACCGGGTTGGTGGATATGGAGTCCACCTAGGGGAGTTGGAAAACTCTCATTTCAAATCAATGGTGCACATAGGCTACAGGATCCTGAAGGAATAAATGAAGTATGAACCTACTGTTGGTCACCGGTTACCATGGGATTGCATCTCCTGACATTGCTCCACTGTATTGTGAATTAGACTTTTTCGTCGAAGATTCAAGGTGTGGCCTCCTAAGAAAACCACCTGCTTCGGTTTGGTCACTTGGGTAGTATCATAACCTATACATAAATCATGTGACTTGTGTAGCACATATGTGATTCGATGCTTGTTTGTACCAAAATTTAGATGTTCATAAAAAATAAATACATACCAATTGAATAAAAAACTGAATTGTTTAACAACTGAGCAAAAAAACTTAAGGACTATTAGAATGATAAAATATTTATAGATAAACGTTTGAAGAATAAGTAATAAGTTCAAAAGGTAATAAAAATTGATTTTCTTTTTCTTATGATAAACTTAATTGATTATAAGTATTATATATATGGTCAGACACTATTAGTAACAACCTACTGTGGGAAAGAACAAACCAGATCCCCGCAGAGGAAGAAATCAGGAAGAAGCGCTGGAAGTGGATAGGACACACATTGAGGAAAACACCCAACTGCTTCACAAAACAAGCCCTCACATGGAATCCTCAAGGCCAAAGAAAAAGAGGAAGACCAAAGAACACAATACGCCGGGAAATGGAGATAGACATGAGTAAAATGAACAACAATTGGATAGAACTAGAAAAGAAGGCTCAGGATAGAGTGGGTTGGAGGAGAAGGCTGGTCGGCAGCCTATGCTTCATTAAGAGTAACAGGCGTAAAGTAAGTAATTATGATACAAATTTGTATATTCTCGCCTCTATTATATAACTAATCAGTATTGAAATCATCCTCAGTTAAATATGCAACAACAACAACAAAAAAAAACAGACACACAAAAGTAATAATAACAGTCAGTAAAAGAAAAAAACGATGTAATAATATGCAATTACCTTTATATAATAAATATACACTTTTATCAGACTGATAAATTACGTTGGATACTAAGAAAAGAAGGATATTTTTTTGAAAAAAAATATGCCTGGGTGTATACACTTTCACACCCACCCACCCACACACATACAAACACTATAAACTTGCATGAACATAGAAGAAAGAAGAAAAAAATCGAAATTTCTCCTCTTAGTAATAATAATAATAATATAAACAATGAACATGTGATAATTTGTGTATATACTTTATCTTTTGTAGATGTAATTTAACAGATTGTAACACACCGGAAACTAACCAAGTTACATATATATATAATATACCTTTGTGGGCCAGGATAATTTTACATTAGTTTTCAGGAGAATCAGACACCATACAGACTTTAACGTGACAACTCAAACAGTACAACTCAATCCCGCTTAACAGGAGAGCCAGACACTGCCCAGGCTTAAATTTCATAAACCAAGCAGTACAGCTCAATCCTGTTTCACAGGAGAACTAGACAGCGTATAGGCTTTAACGCTACAATCTAAATAGTACAGCTCAATTCTGTGGCGCAACCACACAGGTACCAAGTACCCTGGTGGACCAATATATATATATATATATATATATATATATATATAAATTAATTCCTAACTGTAGACTCTATATATATTTAAAACTATTCATGTATCGATGGCAAACTAACTGATTTGTTTGTAAATCTCTATCGAATAAAGTGCTTAGAAAATATTACTTAACCACCGACTACCTTGATAGGTGATATTTATTGGAGTAGAAGTAGGTTTGTAGAAAGATAACAACCGCCAGATCAAGAGGTGTGATTAATCCATGACGTTATTGACTGTTGGATTGATTCATATTGGTAGGTAGACTACCTAGTTGGGATTTAATCAACTATTGTAACCAATGATTGGAGATGTTAGATAATATAGTTCAGAATCGGCCACAACGATATTGATAAATTCATTCCTCTATATATTAATTCCAAGCATAATTTTATACCCTTGTCTTGATTTCATCTTTTCGAGCCGTATTTTTACTGTTCAGTCAATCAGTCAGTCAGCTACAACGTAATACCAGGCACATATGTGCATCGGTCCAAGTTGCCATACCTCATTAACACAACAAGATGAACACCGGATTCATAGAACTAGTTAATTCAGTGGTGGTAATATATAAAAGAAAGATTGCATATAAGGATATAGTCTCTATCATTAGTATAATTTATCCATTTTGTTAACTTCAAATCATCGTGTTAATCAGTCAGTCAGCTACAACGTAGGACCAGGCACATATGTGCATCGGTCCAGGTTGCCATACCGCATCAGCACAACAAGATGAACACTGGATTCATAGCAGTGGTTAGGTCAAAGGTAGTAATATGTAGGAGAAAGATTGCATATAGAGATATAGTACAAGAAGAAAGAAATGGTTCGTAGAAAGAAAGATATGAAGCGATTTTAATCTCTTAGTTTAAGGGAAGACAGAGAGTGTATACACCGACGTCATTGTGATCGATTCTGAGCCATGTCACAAGGAGTCTCCAACCATTGGTTACGATAGTCACGCGGACCCCAACCAAGTAGTCTGCATCTACCAACATGGCTCAGACTAGAAGTTAGTGACTTCAAGCACTGATGCCACGTTTTGGTTTGGCCGCCCCTAACTTTCTTCCAACCATTTCCAATACCGGATAGCATTGCACGTCGTGGTAATCGGTGTTCAGGCATACGTAGCACGTGGCCCAACCATCTCAGTCGATGAAGATTCATAACCTCATCAACTGATTTACCATCATTCCCTAGTACCTTGCGTCTAACCTCACTATTACTTACCCGGTGATCCCAGCAGACACCAGCAATATTTCTAAGGCATCTGTGGTCAAATACTAATAGCTTACGAGTGTCTTCTACTCTTAAAGGCCATGTTTCGCTGCCGTAAATTAAAACAGAACGGACTGCCACGCAGTATACTCGTCCTTTTATTGATAGACGGATATCTCGCCTTCGCCATAGGTGA